CTAAGTTCAACGAATGCACACGGTTCGGGAGGACACATGGGTATCACTAAACCTTGGAGAAATAAAGCAAAGATTTTATTGGGTTGGTTGTCGTCATCAGTTACGGAGTGATCGCCAATTGGTCGAGTGCATTGCTGCAAGGGCCGCGGTCCAGGAGTCATGGCCTGATGAAGCAGTACACATCAGGTGCGCCGTTTGAACGAGAAGCCATGGATGTAGCTGGTCCATTTCCTATCAGTAAATTAGGAAACAGATATGCTTTGGTAGTCATGGACTATTTCAGCAAATGGTCAGAAGGATACGCAATTCCTAACCAAGAGACAGGAACAGTAGCGGATGTATTTATCAACAATTGGGTATCGAGATATGGTGTTCCAATAGAATTACATTCTGACCAAGGGAGAAATTTTGAATCAACTGTAATACAGGATATATGCCAGAAGCTCGGTATCCGGAAAACCAGTACAACTGCACTAATCGCAGTCCGATGGCATGGTAGACATTTGAGAAAAGTTGTGGACAAGTATCAAAAAAATTGGGATACCCATATATCCTTGTTCCTGATGGCTTATCGGTCTGCTGTACATGAAACAATGGGGCAGACTCCAGCAAGGCTAATTTTTGGTAATGATCCTCGACTACCGATTGGTTTTAAATTTGGAATTATCGCCAACAGAGGAAGGAATACTAAGGAATTCAATAGCATCCTAGAAGACGAGATGAGGGATATACATGCTATGGTGAGACAGCGCACCAAAATTATGAGCGATAAGATGAAAGCAAAATACGACAAGGCAATAAATTCTGAGGTTTTATTGAAGCGATTGGGTATTGTTATATAACACAAACGAAAGAAAGGGTTATCTCCCAAATTACAGTGTAATTGGAAGGACCATACAGGTTATTTAAAGACTCAATGATGTAGTGTATCGCATAACGACCATTGGAATACCAAGGAATAAATGAAGGTGGTTCATCTGGAACGGGTTGCAGCGTTGGTACGCAAATATGTCTAATCGGGACGATCAGACTTAGGTAGAGGGCAGTTCGGCGAACGCGAATACCAGAACAAATCAGAATCGACGATAAACTGCCAGAAGCAACTAGACAAAGAATTCGTAGTTGCCAGAATGTTCTAGTTGCGAATTTTTGTTAAAAATTAACTATATAAGGGCTGCCGGATTGTGCAGCAGACACAGTTCTAATTAGAGTGTACGTTAAAAAGCAATTAAGCAATAACCATAAGTTGTAAACTCGATTATCGAGCAATAAGTGTTAAGTTGTTGGAATAAAGATAAGTGTATAGCCATTAAATTGGACTTTAATTTAACAATTCAGTGATCGAACTCAGGAGTGAGTTACAGATAGACGATTTATCGGGAAATCCGTAAATATGTATATTGTGAAATTGATCACAAAGAATCTTCGCCTAATATATTTCAATTTTATAATTTTGCTCTCCAAGATCAGGATTACTAAATAAATATAATCTTTCTTACAAGTTTTGTTTTTCCACGGTTCTTAATGCTTATTAAAGTACTGGAAAACCGTGCCATCAAAAATTCTTCTGAATTGCAGTTATGTGCAGTCGGCAGTTCAGAATAATTGAAATTCTTTGCTAACTGTATTTGTATTACCAGACTATATCTATATCATTATGTAGCTATCTAATTGAAATTTTGCATTTTTGAAAATTGTTAGTAATTTAGTTTAGGCATTAACCATCGATAGTCAAAATAAACTATCGATAGTAGACGAATATTAAACTATGGTGTCTCATCGATTGATTTGCAGCTCTAGTCAGTAAACTATATCAATTATTGATATTGGAAGTGGATTTGTCGCGCTCGAGAAAACGAACATGCAAAAAAAAACCAAAAAAACCAGACGCAACAGAAAACATTCGTTATGATTTCTATTAAACAAATTAATATGAAACATTCACTATTATAGAATCGACTAATCATGTACATATATTCATATGAATTTATGGTGTTAGGTGTAGTCCGAATGTCGACATCGAATAGCCAGCAGCAGCTGCAAGCGGCCAGGTAAATTGAGTGTAAACTCCAAATGTGCTTTCAAAAGTAGAGTATGTTTTGAACTGTGATCACTTTTAGCTCGAAAGTCGCTCAGAAGATTTCAATGAAATGTGTGCAGCTCTTTGAAAACATGAAAATTTAGTGCCTGTACGGAGTTTTTTATACTCTCGCAACCTGTTGCTACAGAGTATAATAGTTTTGTTCACCTAACGGTTGTTTGTTTCACCTAAAATTAATCGAGTTAGATATAGGGTTATATATATATAAATGATCAGGATGAAGAGACGAGTTGAAATCCGGGTGACTGTCTGTCCGTCCGTCCGTCTGTCCGTCCGTCCGTGCAAGCTCTAACTTGAGTAAAAATTGAGATATCTTTATGAAACTTGGTAGACATGTTTCTTGGTATCGTGAGACGGTTGGTATTGCAGATGGGCGTAATCGGACCACTGCCACGCCCACAAACGCCATTAATCGAAAACAATAAACTTGCCATAACTAAGGCTCCGCAATAAGATACAAGACTGTTATTTGGTACACAGGATCACATAAGGGAGGGCATCTGCAGTTAAAATTTTTAAAGTGGGCGTGGTCCGCCCTCTAATAGGTTTAATGTGCATATCTCCTAAACCGCTAATGCTATAATAACAAAATTCACTGGAAGCAAATGTTTTTAGCACTTCTATTGACGGTGTGAAAATAGTTGAAATCGGTGGCAACTCCGCCCCACTCCCATATAACGGGACTGTTAAAACTATTAAAAGCGCGATAAATCAAGCACTAAAACACGCCAGAGACATTAAATTTTATCTCTGGAGATGGTATAAGATGACTTTATAGGAACCGCGTTCAAAACTAGACAGTGGGCGTGGCACAGCCCACTTTTAGGTGAAAACCCATATCTTGAGATCTGCTTAATTGATTTCAACCAAATTCGGTGCGTAACATTCTTTTCATGTTTCTATGTCATAGTGCGAAAATGGGCGAAATCGGATTACAACCACGCCTATTTTCCATATGACACCATTTTAAATACCACTTGATTCTTTCACTTTCCACTATGCAAATCAAGGAACAATGATTATATCGGCGTAAAACTTTGCGTGAATAATACGTTTAAAGTATGCCACCTTGTGACCAAAAATTGTCTAAATCGAACCAAAACTGTTCAAGCCCCTAAGTACTAAATATGTGGACCCCAGTGCCTATAGTTGACCTTCTACCGAAAATATCAGTCAATCCACAAAGAAATCTCAAACGAGTATACCATTTGACTTTGCGAGAGTATAAAATGTTCGGTTACATCCGAACTTAGCCCTTCCTTACTTGTTTTAATTTCAATTTGTAATATGTTATTTTTTTTCCGAAAAACTGGAAAAAAATTGTCCTGAGGCCGCCATTTTGCTAATTAAAGAAATAAGATTTAATCAGGCACTAGAATATCTATTAATAAAACAAATTTTTTTGTCCAATTGATTTTAAATGAATCTCTAAGGACTAGTGATGGAATAACGAGCAGGATTAACCGCCATTACTTTTAAAATACATATCTAATTCCTATAAAGTCAAGTCGAAACCTTTAAGTGCACGATTAACTTTGATAAAAACATTGTCTCTGACATGACCAAACCCCTTATTTACTTTTTTTCATTGTTTTTGAATCTCACATTGTCTAATTGAAATATTCGCATGAAAACTGAAAATCATCCAACTCTAGAATATTTTCGGGAACTATACCATATACATACATTTTTTCGCTCCAATTTCTTGTGTTGATATTGTGGGAACTTAAAATTCTGCAGAATTCATATCACTTAGCTGTAATTACCAGTTCAGCGAGTTAAACATTTTCTTGTGAAAAAAAATACTGAAGAAATGTAACAGTCACAATTTCTTTTGCGCCGCGATCTGGGGTACTCATATTTCAATCGCGTCAAACTTCTTTCACACAGGCGGCCTTCGGCCGCGCGTCAAAAAATTGCCCTGGTCGGTCCACACCGGGGTGTTCATAGTTCTTTTGCACCGAACTCCTTTCAGCAACGGAAAAAGGAATTTATTTAATGTGTCACAATTTTTATTTTTAATGCATATGTATTAAAAATTAAAAACGTTTTTGGTTATTTTGTTTGAAAAATTAATAGAAATGTTGAAAAATTCACTTTTCGGTTAAAACTGGAACTGAAAAACTTAACATAATTTTAAAAGTTTTGTGACTACGTATGCCGCGCTCCATGAATCTGTATCGTGTTCGATTTTTCGGAACCGACCTTTACTTTCCGAGATCGAAAAAGAATCGATTCTGGGTAACTAGTTTCGAGTTCTTCATACCATTATAATATCATAACACACCGTGTGATAGAAAGGCATACAAATATATATATATTTACTAATTTAGTACTTATTATTTATATATTTAAATCGAAATATACTTTTTTAAATAATTTTATTAATGGCACCTAGCGCCGTGTAAATTTATTTTAAAAGAGTAAACAATGGATCTAATGTTTAGTGTGATAAATGTGAAAGCAGCGGAAATATAGTAACTGTACGACTAGTTTGATTAACCCTTATGTTAGTAACTGGGTACCCGGGTACCCACCGCGGTGTATATGTGTGAATAACTTAAAAAAAATTCAAGATTTCATTTTAGGCTCGTCGTTTTTAACTTAAAAGAAAGCTATTTGTGAGTTCATTTTATTTTTTTTTTCAAATAAGCTTAAACTCTATCCATCGCCCTATTAACAACCGGTGGAAAGCATAGGAAAAATGGTTTAAAATTTCAATTAATGATGCAACTAAATTTTATTAAAAATAAAGAAATTCAAGATTTCATTTAGGCTCGTCGTTTTTAACTTAAAAGAAAGCTATTTGTGAGTTCATTTTTTTTTTTTCAAATAAGCTTAAACTCTATCCATCGCCCTATTAGCAACCGGTGGAAAGCATAGGAAAAAAATGGTTTAAAATTTCAATTAATGAATGCAACTAAATTTTATTAAAAAAATAAAGAAATATTACACTTTTTTTATAATTAATGACATTGAACACATTGTACACGATTAACTGAGTGCTCGTCACACACAGGTTGGTGACAATTATCACAGGCCTTACGTGTCTTTCACCGTCTTCTTATTGGCAAAGCATTGCAGACATGACAAGATCCTGTTACTTTTTCCTTCCGGATTTATCACGACGTTTTTCGTCAGTATATGGCCTAATACACTTTCAATGCCAATCTTTGTTGAGAAGTGGCGCATTACTTGTGGATTCGCCGTGCAATGTTCAATCATCGGCAATGCTAGTTCTTTATTAGTTTACGCATAAATTGACGACGTTCTGTCGTTTTTTTGACAATCATTTTATTATTTTAATAATAAATTATATATGCCGCAAGTGAAGAAATATCTAGCATGTTGAAGAACATTGCCAGTGGCCATCTCGAAGATCGTCGTTGACTAGTGTATCTCCGCACCATTTGGTCCATTGTGTCAACTCCAGCTTTATATTTATTATAAAAATTTATTATTTCTGGTTTTCGTTTAGCGTCATCACCAACTGATATATCTGAATGCATTGTATATATCAGAATGACAGCTTTATTTTTTTAGGAACGTAGGAACACATGGTAACCTTTTCGTGAAATCCAAAAACTGTCGTATACTGCTCCGTGTTTTATTCGCTCTCATAACGCTAGGTTGTAAGGTTTATTCTTTTTAGCGTGCCAAGAATGGTAATATTCCACGACAATAAATGTTTAGCAACTGGTACAGTAGTAAAGAAATTATCCATGCAGATGTTTCTACCACTACCTCGGTACGGAGCCGCCAATTCTTTCACTACTCTTTCACCTAATTTTTTCTGCAGTATTATCTGTTTTAACCAGTGCACATAATCCCTTGCAAAGGATAAGCGTTTTCTTCATCACAAATCCACCAGATCTTAATACCATACTTGTATATATTGAGTACGGAATATATTGAGTAAATCCAGTACGGTATGGATCAAGCTGTTCATCAATCGTCAAGTTAGCTGTTGGTTTGTACATCTGAGCTAAATTTGAATTCAATATTGTCCACACATCACAAATTGGAGCTGCCTTGTTTTCTTTTTTACGTTCACTTCGAGTATTACCATCGTCGAATCGCAAAAAACGCAGAATATTATGGAATATATATAAAATTTCGTCAATCCCATCGTCGCGCGATACAGCGGATAAGAATTGGAGTGCCACATGTCAAACGTATGATCTGTATTCGAATTATTTGCTCCAGCACAAATCAAGATACCGAAGAACGAATAAATTTCGGGTATCGTAACGGGCTTCCATTGATGCTGTGAGTTTGGATGGTTAGCACTGTACTCTTGGAAATTGTTTCAGCTTTTTTCTTAGTGCGACGGACGATTATATCAACCATTTCGTTGATACAAATTTTTTTTGAAAGTTCTCGTAAATTGACAACGTTTCCGTACTCCGATGAGTTCCACTCCGCTGGCGTACAAAATTAAGAGCTGCGGTCTGATGCTGAGTTGGTAGAGTTTTGTTCCACACTGTTTTATCTTTGGCAATAAAACCCCAAGATGGATGGCTTTTCCTAAAATAATAATAACAACATTAATTAATTATTTAAGAAAAATAATTATTATTTTAATCATTGCTAAGAACAAATATTTTACTACCTTCAGGCTCAGCTGTTTCTACTTCATTGTCATCATCCTCACTCTCGCTACTCTCAACTTCTTCTTCTACTGCTGAATTCTCTTCAGCGATTTCTTCTGTATCTTCAGAATCTTCTGGTTCGTCACGTACTGAATTACCTTGTTGGTTTTAATGTCTAGCTCTATCTGCTGAAATCTGAATCTATCAGAAACCCTACTCGAATCACTGTCGTGTTCTCCAAGTAGTTTCCTCAAGTACCCATTCCTTTCGGTTGCACTTAACCTAATAAATTAAATATTATGTGATATACGTCGTAAATAATTATAATTATATTACACAAAATTGTAATTAAAATATTTACAAATGTTAAATATATGTAACGTTTACTTACCGAGCATAGTCAGCTCTTGATAATTCTTACATAGCTCTATTTCACTGTCAAGAGAACACAAAATGAAACACGTCTGATCCCACCAAAAATCTATTACTATATTTTACTAAAAATTCTCGAATCTAGTGCGCAATCGAAAACAAAGAAATAACCTTGAGTTTTTCTTTCTCTTTCGAACGGCATCTGCTCGGCTGCGACTACCTGCGGTGTCCCAAATAGGTTTTAGATGAAGTTCACGTTTCTTCGTTGTTATTTTTGTTTTCTTTAAATTGTCACTGACTATTAATTTTAATAAAATAAACAAAATTTTAAATACTCAGATCGTTGCTAAAAGGCCCCTTGAAAACTTACATTCCACTCATTATAACCGGTGCTTGCTCGAGATTAATCGATATTATTAGAAGACATATTTTGCCAGCCCTAAATGTTAGTTGACAATTTGTTTACATTCCATAATTGGCCAAAACGTACCCTACAAGAAACTGCTGATGGGTTCACCAATACACTCACATTTGATATGTCAGTACTGTTAATTTACATTTGCCTTTTTAAATTCAGAACTATCCACTGATTGGAGAAAGACGTACGCAGAGCTATTGAGAGGAGGAGATGGCATCAAGTGAAAATTTATTTTTATATTTTCATATTTTATTATATATTTTGTTGCATTCCTTTTTATATTTAAGTATATCATTATAACTAATTTTGATTAAAAGTTTGAAATTTATCAAAGAAATAAAAATTATATTATCTACTGCGCAAAAGAATTTTTCCCTTCTGATAGCGTTTCAACTGACAATTTTCAGCTATGACGGATTTATGGTCAGCAATGACTCCAAAAAAACCAAACAAACAACCAAAGAGAAAACTGTCATATAACCCATCAGATGACCGTCACTGTTCTTGCAGGGTACATAACAAATGTAAACAAATAGATGTATGGACTGTCAATGAAAACTCATCGAAAACACACAATGTCGGTCAGAACGACTTTGGTTCCATCCACAAATTGTGTTTTCAAGAGGATTTCAATTCGGTGCGAGCATAGTATAAGGTAGAATCGATGGAAATCTAAAGAGTCGACTCTTGTGCTCGACTAATCGATTCTTAGAATCGAAAAATGTTGCAACGGATTTCTCGATGGATCGTCTACCTTATAACTCACTTTTGAGTTCGACCACTGGATTGTCAAACAAAAGTCCCAATTTAATTTTATCTAATTCCAACAACATAACACTTTTTGCTCGTTATTCGTTGCACTGATTCCCGTAACCAAACATAAATAGCTGTTCCATATTTGTATAAGTCATAATTCTGTTCTCCATGTCAATTGTGATTTATTTTGCTGGAAAGTCTACTTCAATTTTAAGTTCATCGACGATATCTGCTACTATAAAATTGTGTAATACGGCTTGCTTCCCAATTACGATCTCGCATGTTACTTTTTGGAGAACTTGGGTATCTTCTCCAGATGCAGTACGCTACTTTGCCCCATCTAATGGTCTCACTTCTTTATTAACCAGATCAGATCGATGATGATCGCCCGTATCCACAGTCAGTATGCGCTTTTTGTCGTCTAAATATCCACAAACTGTAACGTTACTCGTATTCCGGCTAATTTGTGTTATGGAGATTACAGGGTTTTGCTTGCGATAGCCAGCCCGTGTCCTTTTCAGCTGGCTGGCTAAGTTTAACTTTGCGTTTACGTCCAACTGGATTATTAGACTGGTCACAGTTGCGTTCAATATGTATTTCTCCTTGATGATTTTTCAATGTTTAATTGCTAAGCAGAGATGCAGTTTCCTGTGTCAGAGCATATGAAACGGTTTCCGCAAATGTCAATTTTGGACATGCTAACGCAGCGAAGCGTGCAATGTTGTTTCGTGTTCCATTAATAAAGGTCTGAATTTTCATATCCTCGATGTATTCCACGGATTTATGTGCATAAGCTTAGTGGGCTAATCTTATAATCTCTGTAGAAAACTCCTGCAGCGACTCATTGGCTCTCTAGGGGCGATTTCGCAACTCGATTTGGAAGAGCTGCTTCCTGTGCTCACTACCATACTGTCTTTCTAATGCACCCATCATGTTTCATAATTACTCGCCTCGCAGTTTGGAATGGTCTGTAATATCTCCGATGAAGATCATTTTAATGAAACTAACAATGCACCTACTTTATTTTCGGCGTTCTAATATTTTGAAGATGCCGTCTTTTTGAATTGAAGCTTAAAAGCATGGAACGGAACTATGCAATCAAAGGATGGAGGTTGTACCTTTGAAGAGGCTGACGACATAATTGGCCGATTTAATTGTAATTCACGGAGACGATGTTTCAATTCATCCACTTTGGATTAAATTGTATGCTGCTCTTCCGAAATCTGTAAAGACACTTCTTCTACATGTGAGGTCACTTGCGATATCCCTGTATCCTGTTCTTCGAACTGTGATGACACCTTTACTTATATACGTGTATATTGCGCTGCGAACTGCTATTCCAACTGCGTTCACAACCGCTTTTCTAACTGCGACATTTGAAGGATCATACGTCCATACTGTTCTTGAAAATGTGTCGATATCTGCGTTGACACCTGCCACATTGAAGCCAAAATTATGTTTAGTCCAGAGTATTTGATAATCTTCCTTTTATTCTATCTTTGTTGCCTCTTCCTCTAATTCCAATTGAAAGACCTATTCCTCAAAATTAATGTTTTCCGCCTCCATGGCCTTTCAACCGTGATTGCAATTCAGTTTTTATTCCATCTGCAATTTTCGTGTTTTCGATTTTGTTCTATCATCTGTGTTCGTCACAATATAAAATCGGAATCGAGATTCGATTATCGGTGGAGATCACTTGATCGAAGTCTGCTTTTTTGACACTGAGATGTAAATAACTGGAGTTTAGTTTAAACAAAATTTTTTAATAGGTATTTGTAATGGAAAACATTAATAAAAACTTTCAAAAATATTTTCGAAACAAAAGTTTATTGCACATTTATTGTTTTACCTAATCACCTCTCAGAATGCAAGAGGACCCTTGTACTGGTACACACGCTTCCTCCTCTTCCGACTGTGAGGACACCTGCGCTGGCGTACGCCCGTTCAGTTCTTCCGACTGCGAAGACACTTTTGCTGGTATACAAGCTTCTTGCTCTTCATACTGTGAAGATCCTGGTTCACATGCTTCCTCCTCTTCCAACTGTGAGGATTCCCGCGCTGACATATGCACGTCGAGCTCTTTCGGTGCTGACAACTGTGCTGAAAAACGTGCATGCTGCGCTGCGAACAGCTCCTCCAAATGCGTTGACATTCGCGTTTCTTGCTCTTTAAATTGTGTCGACATTTGCATTGATATTTGAGACATACGTGTATCCTGCTTTTTAATTTGTGTCGATATTTGCGTTGACATTTGCGATATTGCGGCAAAAACCACGTTTATGTCCACAATCTTTGGCGAGCATTGAGCCTCTTCCTTTTCTTCTATCTTTGTTGTCTCTTCTTCTAATTCCATGTGAAAGACATATTCCTCAACATTAATGTTTTCCGCCTTCATGGCCTCTCTCAACTGTGATTGTAATTCAGTTTTTAATCCATTTGTCGCCAAACCACGTTGCTCCAGCTCCTTTTTCAGTTGTGGAATCTTCAGATCGTTAAACTTGGCCATTTTCAAATAATTATCTCCTTGGGAATTTATTTGACAATCCCACTTCTGACACCAATTGTAACGGATTTCTCGATAAATCGTCTACCTTGTAACTCACCCTTGAGTTCGATCACTGGATTGTTCAATAAAAGTCCCAATTTATTGGCTACAAACTTATCTTTATTTCTAATTCCACCAACTCAACACTTATTGCTTGTTATTCGAGCTTACAACTTCTTGCTTATGTCTCAATTGCTCTTAACACGACAACACTCTGACAAGAACTGTCTCTGCTGCACAAACCGGCAGCCCTTATATAGTAAATCTGTAACAAAACATTGCTTCTAGAACATTCTGGCAACTACGAATTCGCTAACTAGTTGCTTCTGGCAGTTTATCGTTCACTCGATTTTGTTCTATCATCTTTGTTCGTCACACTGCCCTCCACCTAAGTCTGATCGTCCCGATAAGACATATTTGCGATACAAAACACAAAGCTTTTATGTCCCCCATCTCGTCTTTTAGGCTGGTGCTGACATCTTTAGCCGTCCTTCTCTTCTTGCAGTTGATTCCATCCGTTTTCCGGATACTCAGTTTCTGGTACATCCCTTGACTTAAAGCTTACTCGAGATTCCATTCTTGATCAGAACGTAACTCCATTGGAACACCGAATCTCGTTACCCACTTGTTGATGAATGCCTCCGCCACTGGTTCAGTCTTTTGGTTAGGAATTGTGTATACTTGTGGCCATTCTTTGAAATGGTCCTTGACTACCAAAACATGACTATTTCCTAATTTATTGGTGGGGAATGGACCATCTTCATACAAACCTTTGCTTCAAATGCTCCAAGGATTTCATGTCTCTCAAGTGCCCTCCTCTTGGACATTTGTACTGCACGTTAAGAACATCAGGAATTCCAACCTGGAAACCATAAGTACTCGGAAGGTTTGCCCATTTTGCTTTTCCATACTCGATGCAAGCAGCCATACACTAACTTTAAACTGCTCCGTTCTGCCCAATATGATTTTGTGACTGGCCTTCCTTAGTTATTTTCTCAATCGTTGTACATTGGTTCAACTCCACCTTATGTAATGCACCTTCCAATTCTGGATCTTCTTGCACAGAGTCATCCGTTTCAGGTTCAATTTTATGCTGATCTTCCACCTGTGAAGGTATACACGCTACCTGCTCTTCCAACTGTAAGGACACTTGTGCTGGTATCCAAGCTTTTGCTCTTCTAACTGTGAGGAACCTTTTTATTGGTTCACACGCTTCCTCTTCCAACTGTGGGAACACCTGCCCTGACATACGCAGTTCCAGCTCTTTCGACTGTGAGGACCCTTGTATTGGTACACACGCTTCCTCCTCTTCCGACTGTGAGGACACCTGCGCTGGCATACGCCGTTCAGTTCTTCCGACTGCGAAGCACTTTGCTGGTATACAAGCTTCTTGCTCTTCATACTGTGAAGATCCTGGTTC